CTATGCATCTCCTATCAAGACAACAGGTGTTCTTAATGCCGGTGTAACCGTGGGCACGGGGCCTGGGAGACCAAGACGGGGTGGTGTGGACGGTGTACAGATGCCCACACGCCTGGTCCCTGTCACCTGCTCTGCACATCCAGGTGGTTCAGGCGCTCTGGCCCGAGCGTGCGCATCGCTGTACCCGCAATGCAGTCTGTTGGTGTTCGACATGCCCGAGGTGGTGAACACCGTGAACACGCAATTCTCGCTTCCAGAGCAACAAGGGCTCATCAGCTTCCTAGAAGGTAGGCATGTCCACGGGGAACGCAGGGGCGTCCACCAGAACGTAGGCATGTCGACCTGGTCAGGGAAAATGTGCGCAGATTGAGGGGCCTTTGACGTGGCATCCGCCACCCATCAGAGAACCCCCCTGAACTCACACCTGCAGAATATTTATGAGGATTCCCCACGAGACCCCAACAGCACTAACAACAACTCACCAAAAGGTGGGAAGATGGGATTCACACAGAGGTTCCACGGAAGAAAGGTCTGGCAATCTCCTTATGAAAAATCAACCACTGAGAACCCTGTGGGGCACAGTTCTACTCTGACATACACGGGGCACCATGAGTGGGATCTACTTATGAAAAATCGTCCACTGAGAACCCTGGGGCACAGTTCTACTGTGACACACGGAGGCATCAGGAGTTGAACTGAACTGGACAGCAACTGATGTCATTAGCTGAAAGGAGCCCTGATGGTCATCTGGAAAGGTCATCTGGTCTCAATCACACTAGAAAGTTTGGATTTCATGAAATTAAGTTCCACATTTCCCCCCTTGGATTGATTTCTACAGGATATTTGATGTAAACATGCAGTTATGGTACCTGGGCACCATGCAGTTCTGGGCTCACAGAAAGACAGCAGTGGTGCAGAGAGATGGCTGCATGGGTGTTCCATTTCATTACAGGAGATTTCTTTAAAGACCCCCTTCCTGAGGCCGATCTGTACATTCTGGCGAGAGTTTTGCATGACTGGACGGATGAGAAGTGCTCACATCTGCTGGCGCGGATCCACCATACCTGTAAGCCAGGTAGGCAGTCTGTGCTGGTGTTGACTGTGTGGTTAGGGAGTCCTTCAGAAAGGATCACTGATCTCATTCCAAGGCCAGATCCTGATGACATCACCACATATGTCAGGGTGGGGCTGGGCGATGCAGGATGGAGGATGACCATGGGCCAGGGGTATACCAAGGAGATCGGAAGTCTGGTCAGCTAGTCCTCAGCTATCTATCAATTATGCACACATCTATCTACCCACCCGTCCATTTACCCACCTGCCTGTCCACCTGTCCACCCATCCATCCATGCATCCACCCATGCACCCACATACCCACCCACCCATCCATCCACCCATCCATCTATAATGCATCACCCACTCATCCATCCATCCATCCATCTACCCACACACCTACCCATCCATCCATCCATCCACCCACCCATCCACCCATCCATTCACCCATCCATCCATCATGCACCACCCACTCATCCATCTACCCACCCATCCACCCATCCATCCATCCATCCATCCACCCATCCATCCACCCATCCATCCATCATGCACCACCCACTCATCCATCCATCCACCCACTCATCCATTCATCCATCCACCCATCCATCCATCCATCCATCCATCCATCCATCCATCCATCCATCATGCACCACCCACTCATCCATCCATCCATCCATCCAACCATCTATCCATCCATCATCCACCACCCATCCATCCACCCACCCATCCACCCATCCATCCATCCATCAATCCACCCACCCACCCACCTGTCCATCCGTCTAGCCATGTCTCTATAGTCTCTGCCCAGCTTCACCTGGTCTCTGTTGTCAGGAGGAGGCATCCTGGTGGTGGAAAGCCTGTTGGACGAGGACAGGCGTGGGCCCCTGACCACCCAGCTTTACTCTCTGAACATGCTGGTGCAGACGGAAGGCCGCGAGAGGACCGCAGCCGAGTACTACGCTCTTGTTTCCTTGGCCGGCTTTCAGGACTTCCAGCTCAAGAAAACGGGTCAAATTTACGATGTTATTTTAGCCAGAAAATGACTCCATTCATTGCTTCTCTGGAGAAGTGAGCTAGGTTGGGTCTCTCTTTCTCTGTCTTTCTGCCATCTATCAGTGTGCTTACCTTTATCTCTAATCTATGTAAACATCTATGTGTTTATCCATCCAGCTAGCTACCTATGTATGTATCATCGGTCTGTCTTAATGCAGCATCTATGTTGTTGTCATGAAGTATTGTCTAGTCTGTTCCAATTGACAGCAATCCTGTATAGAGTTTCCCAAGACCTACCACTCCGTTAGCAGTCCAGTCCTCTAGTCCCACACCAGGAGTCCCCAGCATCTAGGCAACATCCATCTGTCCATCCACCCAGTCATCTATGGATCCATCATGTTGGTGTTGAGTATTGTCAAGTCAGTTCCCACTCATAGCAATGCTGTGTAGGGTTCCCAGTGAGCAGCTGGTGGGTTTGAACCGGCGACCTTGTGGTTTGCAGTCCAGTGCTGATCCACAGTGCCACACCAGGAGTCCATCTATCATGTAGCAATAATCGATCTATCTATCATTTATCTATCTATCTATTTATGTATCTATCATCTATCAATCAATCTAAGTAACTATCACATCTATCTATCTATCTATTATATCTATCTATGTATCATGTATTGATCTATCACATCTATATCTATCTATCACATCTATCTATCTGTCTGTCTGTCTGTCTATCTATCTATCTATCATATCTATCTAGCTATCTGTCAATCATCTATCTATCTAACTATTATCTGTACGAGCATGGTGGCTCCATGTGATAAGCACTGGACTGAAAACCACAAAGTCCAAGGTTCAAGCCCACCAGTTGCTCCATGGGTGAGAAAGATGAGGGTCTTTGCTCCTGCGAAGATTGAAAAGACTCAGAAACTCAATGAATATAGGATCCAACTCCATAGAACCGACTCCACAGTACTTCACAACAACATCACCATGTCTGTATCTAGATACAGAGATGTCCGTCAAACCATCTATATCCTCTGTCTGTCTGTCTGCTGTCTAGCTATGTAGCTATCAACTATCCATCCTGACAGTTTATTATCTATCACCTATATATCTCGGCTTAAGGTCAGC